TGCTCTGCTGCTTCATTCTTTAACCGCGCAACGATCCTGTGGCTGATGCAACTCCAGAAGAGAATCTCAGCGGCTGACCTTAGGTCTCATCAAGACATTAATAAAATACTGGCCACGGTAGAATTCTCAGCAGATGCCACTCTTAACGCAGTTAGGTTTTCTGCTAAATCAATTCGATCCTCGTTGACTTCCAGATGCTTACTCTGGCTCAGAAATTGGCAAGCTGATCAAAGGGCTAAATGGCGTCTTGCCTCCTCTCCTTTTCAGGGAGACAAGTTGTTTGGGGCTCCTTTGGAACCCCTCCTTATTGAAACTAAAGATCATAGAAAATTTTTGCCTTCTCTCTCCTGAAGGTCTGAAGTTCGTTCACAGGGCTTCTTTCGGACAGGCTCCTTTCGTGGCCAAGATTTCAACACCTACCAGCAGCATACCCAGCACTTCTTCCAGCCAAGAGGAACTCAGCAGCAGGACACTCAGGTTAGACCAGGTTACAGATTCTCTTCCAGGAGACCTTTTAAAGGCTCCAGGGACAGATCCTTCCGGCAAGCCCGTTAATTCTCCACCAGATTCCATGATTGGTGGCAGATTATCTTTCTTTGCAGACCACTGGGATGCCACCATTTTCGGTTCCTGGGTGAGGAATATGGTTCGATTTGGCCTAGCTCTTGAATTTCACTCCAATCCCCCCAATCTCTTTCTGCACTGCCCTCTGTCCCTGGACATAACCAAAGAGCTCAAGTAGATGCGGCTATTGATCACCTTCTACAGATTAAGGCCATTCAACCGGTCCCCTGTCACCAGCAGAGACAGGGATTTTATTCCCGGTTGTTCCTAGTGCAGAAGGCTTCAGGGGATTGGAGAGCTATTCTGGATCTAAAATCCTTGAACGGGCATATAATTTACCACTGGTTCAAAATGCAATCAGACCTGGAGACTTCATGTCTTCAGTGGATTTAACGGAAGCTTATTTACATATCCATATACTTCCTGCTCATTGCAGATTCCTCCGTTTCTGTTACAATGGGCAACACTTCCAATACAGGGCCCTTCCCTTTGGGTTGTCCTCAGTGCCTAGAGCCTTTACTAAGGTCATGGCCGCCCTTATCAGCCATATTTCATCTATACCGGTTAGAATTCTTTTTTATCTAGACGATATTATCATCCTTTCCCAATCTGAAAACAGGGCATGCCGGGATATTTCCACTTCCATACAAATTTTGAGGGCCCATGGTTTTTCCATTAATTGGAGGAAGAGCCATCTTACACCTTCAACATCTGGGAGCCATAATCGATACCGTAGCTTCAAAAGTTTTCCTGTCTCAAGATTGTCAGGATAGCCTCACTGACCTGGCCGCACATTTTAAACACCATAGGTCAGCCTCCCTTCAAGATTTATCTAGCTTATTAGGTAAAATGGTATCCTCTTATGGCCTAGTATCCTGGTCTCGTCTCCATAGCAGGGAATTGCAGTGGCTTCTTCTTCCCCATCAACGAACCCTCAGCAGCACCTCAGTCTTCTGACTCTCTCTCCCCACAAACGTCGTGGAGTCCCTATGCTGGTGGTCCCCCGAAGCAGTCTCTAGAAGTTCCCTGTTCCAGGAACCTTAGAGGGTAGTCATCACCATGGATGCGAGCCTCTCAGGTTGGGGGGCATACCTGGGCACTCACATGGCTCAAGGCAGATGGTCTCCACTGGAGAGTGCCCTCAACATCAACCTTCTAGAGCTACGGGCAGTCTACCTCGCCCTTCAGAGCTTCAAACACCATGTGCTAAGCAAGGATGTTCTTGTGCTCATGGACAACATCATGGCCAAAGCACATATCAACAGACAAGAGGAGATCCGATCGCAGGCCCTACTTCAGGAATCCCTTCGCCTGGGTCTCTGGGCGGAGTCCCGCCTCACGTCTCTCCATGCAGAACACATCTCTGGAATAGCCAACGTTCAGGCGGACTCCCTTAGCCGCACTACAATTGACAGGCAGAGTGGAGCCTTCACCCTCTTCTCTTTCAAGAGCTGACAAGGAGGTACGATTTACCACTGGTGGATCTGTTTGCCACAGAACTCAACCATCATCTTCCATGCTTCTTCTCCCGATTCCCATCTCCAGAAGCAGAAGCAGTGGACACCCTTTGCACCCCGTGGCCTCCAGGGGCTCTCCTTTACACTTTCCCTCTGTTCCCTCTCATAGCCAAGGTGATCCGGAAACTTCTCATGGAAAAGGCAGAGCTCATCCTTCTGCCTCCCCACTGGGCTCGTCGTCCGTGGTTTGTGGACCTCAGGTCTCTGTCAGTGGCTCCTCCCTGGTGGATTCCCGACAACCAGATATCTCTCCTTCAAGGCAGTCTGGTCCACCCAGATCCTTAGTCACTCCAGCTAGCCCCCTGGAGGTTGAGCAGTTCCTCTTGACAGAAGCGCTGGTTCCTCCAGAGGTCATCACTACCATCCAGGCATCTCGCCGTCTATCGATGACTCGTATCTATGACGCCATGTGGAAGGCCTTTTCCAGTTGGTGCAGATGACACAATATCATCCCTACCTCAGTATCAATAGTCCAGATTCTTGGGTTCCTTCAGGAAAGATTCTCTTCGGGTCTCTCACCAAACACCTTAAGGATACAGGTATCCGCCATTTCATCCATCCTGTCATTGGCATCTTCAGGTTCACCTTCTAGGGAACCTCTGATCCGCAGCTTCCTTCGCAGGGCTACCAATCTGCGCCCATCTACAATACACAGATTTCCAACCTGGGACCTAAACAAGGTACTGACTGCACTCACCAGGCCTCCATTTGAACCCCTGTGGGAGGTGGATCTCGAGTATTTGTCTTTCAAGGTTTTGTTCCTAGTGGCGATTACCTCAGCTCACTGTATTTCAGAGCTGGTGGCCCTTTCTATCCGTAAGGATCTGTGTATCTTTCATGCGGACAGGGTGGTCCTCTGTCTTGATCCAGCCTTTGTACCTAAGATCAACTCAGTCTTCCACAGTTTACAAGAACTTGTTCTTCCCAACTTCTGCCCATCACCTCAGCATCGACTCGAACGGATATGGCATACCCTTGACGTTCACAGGGCGCTTAAAATCTACATAGCCCGTACATCGTCTTTCCATCGCACGGAAGCCTTGTTTGTTGCCTTCCAACCCTCTTCCATGGGTTACAAGCTGTCAGCTACAGCAATCGGCCGCTGGATATGGGCCACCATCACTTCAGCTTATGCCGCTCAGTCCTTACCAGTACCTCGGAATATCACGGCCCACTCTATAAGGAGCGTGGCCACCTTGGCGGCCTGGTCTACCCGGGCTCCCTTGGAGGACGTTTACCGGGCGGTCACCTGGATGTCTCCTACTCCATTCATCCACCATTACCGGCTGGATGCCTATGCTTTGGCTGATGCATCCTTCGGACGGAGAGTATTGCAAGGAGTACATTTGGAAACCGCTTCCCAGACACGGCCTGCACCCTCCCTATAGGACATTGGCTTTGGTATGTCCCAGACCTGACTGCCGTGCCCGCCATTAGGAGAATGGGCATTGGTCTTACCTGATACACCCTTTCTATATCAGGCGGGCACAGCAGTCAGCCCCTCCCTGTCTGGCCATCCCCGGGCACCGGGGGGTGGGAGGCAATTTCATATGTTTCTTACCATTGCAAACACGACTTTTCTGCTGCTCTACCTCGTCTCAAAACTGAATCACACAGGAAGAGGCGGGACTTAAAACTTTCAGCAGGCCCGGTCTCATTGGAAGAGAAGCTGTGTCACTCCCAGATCTGACTGCCGTGCCCGCCTGATATAGAAAGGGCGTATCAGGTAAGACCAACGCCCATTTTGGACACCTCCCCCCCCCACTCATTGACATCCAATAGACAACCCTGGTTTAAGCCAACACATTATCATAATGCTTGTGGGAAAAGCCAGATCTTCAGGTTTTTTCAGATAGAAATGTAGGAGCCTGCTAAAACTTGGAGGGAAAGTTGTTCCAAAGGGCAGAACATTCACTCCACAGAAGTTCAAAATGGCAGTTGATTTTCTCTAGGCCAGGAAGTCACCTGACTAGAGTGAAAGTTTGAAGAAAGGATGAAGTGATATGGCCCTATATAGCCACATCACTCTACAAATGTGTGTCTGGAGAATAAAACTGAGTTTTAGTTGCACTTGTGTCCTACTAGGGAAAAATGTTTCTATATTGACTGATACTTTTCTTACTATTAGTAACTAGGTGGCATGAGTAATACTAAGGCATATGAGCCTAGCCTTGGCTTGTCTCTTTATTGAAAAGCGTTATGTGGAAAAAGCCTTGATTATTTTTTCTGAAATTTAGAGAAAAGGAAAGGCTTTGATCTTGTGATAAGATTGATATTTATAAATAAATAAATAAATAAATAAATAAATAAATAAATAAATAAATTGCATTTTCAAAGCCGTTTACAAATTCAAACCATTCAAAGGGAAGGTTAAACTCATTGATCAAAGCAGATATAGCATATGCAAATTAAGATAAGCAATAAAATGAGATAAACAGAGAATTTTAAAAAGCAATAAAAATGAAACATATTACAGCAGGATTAACAAATCATTAAAAGATCAGGGAGAAATAGAAGGGTCTTTATCTGACACAGAAGACAATAAAAAAGCACTAGATATACAATATCTCAGTGGTGATAGCATTCCTACGTTAAGATCACATCGAATAGGCCTCTTCCTGGGTAAATATGTACTTGGTGCATTTTAGCAGGGCTGGATCAAATAGCTAGTCCTCTGAGGAGGATTTCAGTATACAGGGAAAAGCATCCAGGAAGGGCCATTCATTCTGATATTCCTGATATCTCATCTCTTATCTGGACCAGTCTACCCTTATACCTTGACTCTTCACAGAAAGGGAACTGCTTTTCTTGGTTTATTTTAGAAAAAAACCTTCCCCAAAGAATCACATATTAGGAACTTGTGAATGAAGGTAGTCTGTTCTTATGAAGTAGAGTTGAGAGAAACAATTTCCTTCTTACCTTTAGGCATGGTACAGTGCATGTGTCTTACTAAATCCTGGGCCTGGAAGGGTCCTACATAATATCTAAGATGTTCCTAGCACTGTGCTCTTCTCATAGCATTTTAAAACTTGATGTTGATGTTGTTCCTTAGATCTGTTGGAGTCACTTTCCTACGTGATAGCCCCAAGTGCTCCTGCCACCATTGGGATCCCTTTGGTTTTTACTTTCCATACCCTCTCTAGTTCCTCCTTGAAGCTCTAACTTCTTCTTCCTGATGCTGCTGCAAGTTGGCACTGCTACATCTATCATAACCAGTGTCATCATCTGGAGATTGTGAGATCACAATCTCCCTCCCTCCCTCCCTCCCCCTCTGTCAGAAATGATGAGATAGAACTATCTAGGCTGTTGCAAGTGCATATAAAAATAAGAATCCATAGACTGACAATAACTACAAGTAAATGAAGATAATAGAAGAACAAGATATTAATTGGGGGGGGGGGGAGTTGATTACAACATTTTAAATGAATCCAAAAAAATGTTAGATGACATAAATGGAGAACAAGATGATAAAAAAGACATTTGGGATATTCACAGATCCAAGAATGAATTAGAATTGTGCTTTTGGGTGAGTAATTGGCTTATAGCCCCTATCTCCCCCAAATACAATGCCATTAGAATATTGAAAAATCATTCTATGCTTAAAATCCTACAAGCTAGGCTCCAGCAGTATGTGGATCGAAAACTACCAGAAGTACAGGCAGGATTTCAAAGAGGCAGAGGACCTAGAGATCAAATTGCCAACATATGCTGGATCATGGAGAAAGCTAGGGAGTTCCAGAAAAACATCTATTTCTGCTTCATTGACTATGCTAAAGCCTTTGATTGTATGGATCACAACAAATTGTGGCAAGTTCTTAAAGAGATGGGTGTACAAGACCATCTTATTTGTCTCTTGAGAAACCTATATATGGGTGAGGAAGCAACAGTGAGAACTGGACACGGAACCATTGATTGGTTCAAAATTGAGAAAGGAATTTGGCAAGGCTGTATAATGTCATCCTGCCTATTTAACTTATATGCAGAGCACATCATGAGAAAGGCGGGGCTAGATGAATCAAAAGTTGGAATTAAGATTGCCAGGAGAAATATCAACAACCTCAGATATGCAGATGATACCACTCTAATGGCAGAAAGCGAAGAGGAACTAAAGAGCCTCTTGATGCGGTTGAAGAAGGAGAGTGCAAAAGTTGGCTTGAAACTCAACATTAAGAAAACTAAGATCATGGCATCCAGCCCTCTCAGTATGTTATCTGTTCTGAGAAATGAAAGCTTGTAGAAAGAAATGAAAATTGCAATCTATAGGAGCATACTTCTGCCCTCTTTGTTATATGGATGCAGGAATTGGGTAGGTCAAGAGAAATGCATGTGTGTGTGATAAAAAAAGTTTATATCAATAAAGGGAATACATTTAAAGAGAATATTCTCTCTCTCTTTCTTTCTCTCTCTCTCTCTCCCTCCCTCCCTCCCTCTCTCTCTCTCTTTCTCTCTCCCTCCCTCCCTCTCTCTCTCCCCCTCCCTCTCTCTCTCTCCATCATTTCTAGTGGATTAATCCAGGGCATCTTTTTAATTGATCAAAAGCTTTTAGTCTACCTGGATAATTGATTCAATGTTACATCCTTACAAGGTTTTGTGCGGCTGCAAGATTTTTTTTTTTTTTTTTTTTTGGTAATCAATTACAAAGTGCACAGTTCTTTTTCATTGATGGGATTGTATTCATCTTCTTTTAAGTTACAGATTTGTATAAGAGTTTGTTGTTCCCTTCTACCATTAACAGATAATATTTTGTCACTGGGGAAAATATTATCTCTTCCTGCTTCTGAACAAATGCTTCCAATTTAGAGGAAAGAGTGTATAAAATTTGATTGCATTGGTTCTGCTTTGCAGTCTTATTTTATCTTACTTTTGTTTGTACCTGAGATCCTCACATTTAAAAAGAATCATGGAATCATTGCCACTAATGGTTATGTTATGTTATGTTATGTCATGTCATGTCCTGTCCTGTCATGTTATGATTTTTCTCTTTTCTGTTCATAAGTTTCCAGATATCTGAAGGTTCTCCAAAATATCCAAAAAGCTCTCTTTCATTTGCTTGGCTGTCAGGTAAGATCATGTTGATATTATCATAGAGGATTATGGTTATACATTTTATTAGAAGGGATATCCAAATTCTGATAATTAAAAAGGATATTTTTAACGGTATCCTGCATCCCTTAATGATTCATTGGTGACTTTTCTAGAAGTACTTTTTATTTATTTATTTGTTTGTTTGTTTGTTATAGTCAAGATCTTAAACTTTCAAAATTTCCCTTGAAAAAAAATTGGTTGAAGGCTTTCCTCATCCCACATTCTAGACCAGTTAGATAGCATTATATTCCTATGGGCTCTATGAGCTATTGCTAAGTCAAAGTTTTAAAGACAATGCCCTGTAAATTTAAGGCAGGGCTACTGGCATGAATCTGTCTAGATTTTCTGCCCAAAATGCTGTAGTTCAAACAGGGAGTATGCATTAAAAATAAAACAAAACATGGGCTTGATTCAGTGGTGAAATCCAATTTTTTTTACTACCGGTTCTGTGGGCGTGGCTTGGTGGGCCTGGTGTGGCTTGGTGGGTGTGGCTTGGTGGGAGTGGCAGGGGAAGAATACTGCAAAATCTCCATTCCCACCCCACTCCATGGGAAGGATACTGCAAAGTCACCATTCCCTCCCCACTCCTGGGGCCAGCCAGAGATGGTATTTGCCAGTTCTCTGAACTACTCAAAATTTCTGCTACTGGTTCTCCGAACTGCTCAAAATTTCTGCTACTGGTTCTCCAGAACCTGTCAGAACCTGCTGGATTTCACCCCTGGCTTGATTCCATAACATAGGGGTGAATCTTGCCATCTACATCATTAGACTATGAATGAGCATTGATAAAGATGTACTGTAGATTACCCAAGCATTCTCTCAATATTTTTGTCTACATCTGTCACCGTTCTGTACTATTTTCTGCCATAACTGGAGCTGGTGAAATTGGGAGTCCAAAGCATCTGGGAATCATCATCTATCTATCCTGACATTACGTAATAAATAATGCTGAGAGTGGTCATAAGTTAAGTATGAACTCTCATATGAATACAGATTTGGTCCTGAGTTCCAGAGGAAGAGTGCCAACTCTTATGACCACTTCCTTACAGGTACCATAATATTTCAGTGCCTCTATTGGTGACTGGGGATAATGCCTCATTGTTTGCTGCACTCTGCTCAGAATTTCCTCAAATGCCTCCCTTGCTGATTTTCTAAAAGTATTTGAGTGTCCCCCTGGTGAAAAGAGGCCCTTGAATTAAATGGAATCCTCATTTGAATCAAGATGATGATTGATGCTTTGATTAATTTCTGAACTAAAAATAAATAGTTCCTGTGCTTATCCAGTAATACTAGGTGTGGAACTCATTTCAGTAAAGCCGTTTTAGGCAGATTAAGCCCTTATTGACAATATTTGTGGAATGGAAAAGTACAAATAAACCAAAAGCTTCTGCAAACTCTGTGTGTACATAGCTCTGAAGAAGAAAAAAAAATGAGGGAAGGAGTGGATATAGAACACCAAAACAACTTTTAAGAACAGTTTCTGAAAAACGATCGAATCATTTAGAACTGCAAAACTCCAGGGAGCAATTAAGAAAATGAGAATTTTTGGCATATTTGGTGTGCCAAAACAGAGACTCGTTGGGGCATATTTATTTGTTTAAGATTTATATCCTGCCATTCTTCTAGGAATTCAAGACAGTGTTCCATCTTCTAATTTTATACTTATTCTGACCAACCCAAAGTTATCCATTGTGGACTTGAACCTAGATCTCTTGAGTCCTAGTCTAATCACCCTAAATGCTATACCACACTGACAGTCATATGAGTGATGGTGCTCTTAGTCCACTGGAAAAATGATGAGTCTCTTTCAACCATGAGCAATGTTGACTGGCTCCAAGATATCTAGGGAATACCAATTCACACATTACCTACTGAAAAATGACTGCCTTCCATTTCTATATATATTACAGCAAGGAATTATGCCCAGTTCTATTCTCTATCTACGCAATATATGCATTTCATCTAAGCCAGGGTTTCTTAACCTGGGCAACTTCAAGATGTGTGGACTTCAACTCCCAGAATCCCCCAGACAACTTTGCTGGCTGGGGAATTCTGGGAGTTGAAGTCCACACATCTGAAAGTTGCCAAGGTTGAGAAACACTGATCTAGGCAATTATTAAAAAAAAAAAAAAAAAACTTCTCAGTTATGAATGGAAACATTATCTTATCCGATACATAAAAATAATAAAACATATTAACTTCATCAATAGAAACTTCTTCATTAGCTCCTCAGAGTCAGGATTTATGTAATCTCTGATAATAAATCATTCTTTGACAATTATTAATAAAGGTGTGGAATTGTAGGGAGGAGTTTCTATATTTTAAAAAAATGTATTCTCTGCCTTGAACCATTGCATGCCCTTTTGTACTGTTCTAAGTCTATGTGCTTCCTCTGTTTGAATTCCAATCAATTTCAATTCCATTGTACCAGACAATATGGTTTACTAATGATTAGTCAATTAACCTCAAAGCCGCAAAGTAATAGGTGAATGACCGAGTAATGTAATAGCGTAATTGCATTCTGAACCTGTAGAGTAGAAGTTGCATTCAAATGACTGGCATCAAAGTAAAATGAAAGCTACGTAGAAATTAACACAAAAAATGTAACATGGTTTCTTCTCATTTTTCCCCCAGTAATTCTCCCAGTTGCTTTCAACATTAAGCAAAGGATATGGGATTGGAGAGAGAAAGTGCAAATTGATTTCACTTCTTTTTCCCATTTTTATGCAATCTCCAAAACTAAGATTAGTATCAGGGTACCGTCAGTCAAATTATGCCGACTGGCGACTCCCAGGGGGAGGGCCTTCTCTGTGAGGGCTCCAACCCTTTGGAATGAACTGCCCCCTAAGATACGAAATATCCCTGATCTTGGTGCTTTCTGCCGTGCCCTCAAGACCCTGATGTTCCAACAGGCGGGGCTAAACATATGAACATGTGAATGTTTTTAAAATGTTATCTAATTTTAGGTTCTATTTAATTGGGCCAAACTATGTTATAATAATAATTTTAATTAGCAATTTTATGATGTTTGTGTATCTATATTTTTCTTGACTGTACACCGTCTTTAGTCCTACGGGAGAAAGACGGTATAGAAACATAATAAATAAATAAATAAATAAATAAATAAATAAATAAATAAATAAATAAGATTGAAAATCTCTTCTTGTACAAGAGCCAGGATTCCGAATCTACAAGGGATTGTGCACATGAAATAGAAACACAGTTCTGAAATCTTCTCAGAGTTGAAGCATCAAACAAAAACTACCCTGAGCTATAAGGCAGTGGTGAAATCCAGCAGGTTCTCACAGGTTATGGAGAACCGATAGAAGAAATTTTTAGTAGTTTGGAGAACCAGCAAATATCACCTCTGGCTGGTCCCAGAGTGGGGTGGGAATGGAGATTTTGCAATATCCTTCCCCTGGAGTGGGGTGGGAATGGAGATTTTGCAGCATCCTTTCCCTGGAGTGGGGTGGGAATGGAGTTTTTGCAGTATCCTTCCCCTGCCATACCCACCAAGCCACACCATGCCCACCAAGCCATGCCTCCAGAACCAGTAGTAAAAAAATTTGAATTTCACCTCTGCTGTAAGGATGTAAAAGGATGGCTTGGATAGGAACTAATGATACCTGATATGTTCAATATCCTTCCTTGGAAGTTTCATATTCAACAGATGTACAAATATCTGCAGTACAACTGGCATAATCTCAGCTGGAATGGATTGGATGGTACATGATTCTGACCATTGTATCAATAGGATTGGATTCACACTCCTTGGAGACTGGCGTCATCTTGTTAACTTCTGACCATTTTCCCTTGTGGGTTCAACTCCACTAACCTTTAGAAAATATTTTAGATCAATTAGTGTATGTTCATCTCTCTCCCCCTCTCTCTCCCTCTTTCTCTCCATGCACATACATACCAGGGGTGAAATCCAGCAGGTTCTGACAGGTTCTGGAGAATCAGTAGCAGAAATTTTGAGCACTTTGGAGAACCGGTAGCGGAAATTTTGAATAGTTTGGAGAACCAGCAAATACCACCTCTGGCTGGCCCCAGAGTGGGGTGGGAATGGAGATTTTGCAATATCTTTCCCCCAGGAGTGGGGAGGGAATGGAGATTTTGCAGTAGCCTTCCCCTGCCATGCCCACCATGCCACACCATGCCCACCAAGCCACGCCCACAGAACCAGTAGTAAAAAAAATTGAATTTCACCACTGATACAGACAGACAGACAGACAGACAGACAGACAGAACATAGGCTTTTTAAAAATGTCTTTTATATATCACACTTCTGAAATTTTGCTGGATATTTTCTTTGGCCTGGCTAGGTACCCTCTGCCTTCTGGTGATGAAGCTAAATACTCTTCGTTGTATGCGTGGGAGTGTTATAGTTTCTAGATGCTGCTTTATGGTCTCTCCTATGAGACCTGAGAATAATAATTCCAGATTGTTCCTCTGATTTGTTAGTACATTTGTTCATTAAAATGAAAGTAAATAGTGAGGCCAAGGTTGATGAGGTTTGTGATTCTGGATATTTCAATGTTAGTGTGTATGGCTAGGTCTGGAGTGTTATGTAATACTGCTGCCATGGTTTACTTTTCCAGTTCTGGATGGATAGATGTGAATAGTGCTGTAACAATGAATGAAACCATAATATCATCTTCTTATATATTTTCTCAAGGTATTGTAGTGGGCAGTTGATAGAATATTTGCTCCCCTATATGAAATGCCTTAGGTGTTTTCTTTAAAAAGTAATCCTTTGGCTAGGTTACATGCTGGGATCCTGATAACAATACAATTGGATGAAGAAGTATCTCAGACTTGTTATTTTGGGGAATCCATGGAAGTGTCGGAGGATAAATCCATTGATTATCATTCATGATTGTCCTTTTTTTTTTTTTTTTTTTGGTGATTTGACTTTGCTTAGTTTGGTCTTAGGGAGTTCTTTTGATCAGATGTCTAGATCAGTGGTGGGTTTC